ATTAAAAAAGATGATTTTAATAAAGAACTGAAACAAATGTCTGAGTTTTATTTTCCTAGAATTTGTTTGGTTAATTTTTTATGCCTCTGCGCCGGCAACTGTTGTGGTCATAAAGAGAAAGATAAGTTCAAACTAAAAATTCCTCTCCAGAGTCATTTTAATGCATATATAGTAGTCTGCTGTAAACAATTTGTATAATGCCTTAGAGTCTTAACTCAAAAAAAGTTTACTACAGCTCTGTAAAGGGCCTGAACACACATCTGGTTATTGCCCCTTATTGTGAATTCCAGGATTCCCATTGCTGCTTCCCCCACATAGGTCATGGGTATGTCTCATGTCTCTTATAAGATCAGTCCTCTGTTAAACCAGAAGTTGTTCTGGTCGAATGAGGATGTAGGACAGTCCAAGTCTCTTATATCAGCTCTGAGGCCCAAGGACGGTGCTGCTGCAGCAAGGATCAAGGATACACGAGACCATTCTTTGCAAAAGTTTTTTGTGAACTGACACACCCCTTTATCAGAAATCAGTTGGTGATTGAACACTTCCAATGAAGTATCTGAGGAAAGGATGTCTCGTTAATGGTACGTTTCCTCGAGTCCTTTCTCATGTTTTCCTTGCATCTTACGTGGGTGGGACTAAGACACAAGGAAAACGTGCAAGTGAGGGAACCAGTGTTTGTAAGAGACATGAGATGTAGCCACTATACCACATGGTCTTATATTGCACTTTTCTTCACATTGATGTGCATGCAAGAACTTTGCACTAGTTCCCATTCACGCATACTGTGGAATTTTAATTGCCTTATTTTATTGTTCCTCGGTTCTTGATCCTTGCATGACCTGGACGTTGCCAGTCCACTATAATGACGTCCCAAAGCTCTTATTTTTTCTCTGAGGAGTGAGGAGGCTGCTGGTAGGAGCTATAGCCAAGGATACATGAGTGCTTCCTTTGCAGAAGTCTGTTATGACATGACATGCCCCTTTTTCAGTTTGTGATTGGATGCTTAAGGATTGGGGGGACGTCCGTCTCATGTCAGTTGAAACGTTTCCTCAGTTCCCTTCCTCGCAGTTTCTCCTTAGCATCTTACGTGGGCAAGGAAAAGACACACATGAGGGAAACATGGATGTAGTTAGTGAATATTGGGATTCACCAAAATGTTCTGTCACCCACACTCTGACATCACTGAGAGTGATGTTGAGTTCAGTGTCTTGCCTCAGGGTACTTTAACATGTGGACTGGAGAAGCCCGGGATCGAATCCTATGGTTAGGGGATGACCTGGTCCACCTCCTGAGCCACAGTCACCCCCATGTCACCTAACTTACTCCTTTGCTTGTGTCAATTACTACAGTCACTAAATTATAACCCAGCTGTTGGTCATAAACCTGCTGGCACAAACAATAAGAGAGGACAGTCTCCACTTTTTGGACCTGACTAATGTGCTTATGACTGAATGGGAGCAAATCCCTGCAGCCAAAAATTGGGTAGAAAGCCTGAAGCCAGAAGAGTGCAGGCTGTTAGAGGAGCAGATTAACGGCCGTGGTTCTGACCATATACAGTAAACTTTGCTTCAGTTACAAAAGTTTATGCTGTATGTAAACTTGCATGACGGCAACGTGCTGTACACAAACACGTGATCGTCCTGTATCAATCTTTTTGCACCACATACACAAACTCAGAGAGAACATTTTTCCCATCAACCATCAGTGCCAGGAGGGTCAGTCATCCCAGAGTCAGTTAAAGTTAAGAATGATCACATGAACTCTAATACTGAAGACACATTCTCAGAAATGGCTTCACACACAAACACACTACCCTGATGGAAAGTCGTTAGCAGGCTTGTACAAGTCTGAGTTATGAGGGAGAGCTCTGGGTCATATTGATTTACTACTGGGGGTGAGTTTAGGTTTAGTTTAGCACATGCCCATCTGACCTGAACCTACAGCCCCATTATGCAATTAGTAGGGCTATGTTGTTACAATGTTAAATCTGGAAAGTTTTAGATTAATAGGAGCTTTATAATGAATAGACTCTGGCAGAAAATGAAGATGAATCATCCCTGCCTTGTGCTTTTGCACAGTTCATGGCCAGTCTGGAGCTCCTCAACATAGAGGCTGCATTCCCCTTAATCCCTGCTCTCAAAACGAAGTAGCTATGTACAAGACACTTGTCCTCCACCTTACAAAAATAACTCTTTGAGCATCTATAGCCTAACTTTCCTCTCTTTAAACAATGGGAAAACATTATGTAAACTGCACCCTGCAGCCTGTACTGCAGCTTCAGTTTTGGTCAGGCTGATTATCAGGCAGCAACAAGGAAAGTAACCATGTCTGTTACACAGCTATAGAAATGTGCAACAGAATAATCATCTGAAACCAGCTGCTGGTGTCAGAATAGGTCGATAAAATATTCAGACTCAGCTGTGAAACCAATTTTAGATGTGGAGCGACTGCATGAAAAGACAAACAAATTGAGGTAATGAGGCATCCACGCTCTTGAGGAAACCCAAGCAAGTGCTAATTCTGAAGCTGTGAGACATATGCATATTTTTTAAGATTACTATCATTCATGTGCACATGCTGTTAATCATCCAGATCTTAAATGCATATCACTGAAACACACTCGTAGCAAAAACTATTACTATTACAGAATAAAACCACACACCTGCAATAAATCCCTTGTTTTTGTGTTCATTTTTTGTTTTAGTTATCTATTTATATTTTAGTTGTATAGAAGTGTTGAATCAGCTGCATGGTTGGATGTGTTTTGTGCTGCTGTTTGAACTATCAGCACAGGTTTTAGCCAAATGTTTGCTATTTTATGTAGGTGGAAAAGGTGCTTTTACTAATGGTTTTAATAAACTGTCCAGATGCAGTGTCCTGATTATTGACTGAGAACTCACACAGTTGTCCAGATTTACTGTTGCTTAGTCAAACTGGTGCTGGCCTGGTCTGTGCCAGTCACCAGCGTCTCAGTTTTAGGAGCATGTAATTATGTGACATCCAGTTTTTCACTACAGAAAAACAAGCCTCTGATTTAATCATTTAAAAAGGGTGATTTGCTTTACAGGCACATACAGCTGAGCATCATCAACACACCAGTGGAGATGAAATCATCTGTACTAGACAAATGTATGTACCAAATGTTGTGGCAGTCTGTCATTTAGTGAGACATTTCACTTAAAGGCAAAAAAACAAGAAAAAGGTTTGCACACGGTGTTGAGCTCCCAAATATTTAATTCAGTAGCAGCAATGTTTTGATGTCTGCAGGATCTTCGTCAGCTCTCATCAAACAGGCATCACACTGAGAGGCGCATTTTTATGTGCACCTGTTAAGACGCCACTCAGGTGTTTTCAGTCTGACTAATCTCTCTTTGTGGGGAGATTTTGTCCTGATTGTTTCCTTTTAGAAGCAGATTGGCTTCAAATTAGTCCGACTGAAAACACCTGAGTAGCATCTTAGCCTGTTAGATAAGGGCTGACAAAGATCGCGCATAAATCAAAATGTTGCTGCGACTGAGTTAAGTTATCGGGAGCTCAACACAGTGTGCAAACATTTTTTGTTTGTTTTTCACCTTTAAGATGTTGTTGGTTCAACACCTGTATACGTTTTTTCAGATGCGCATGTCCTATGTCTTCTGATATTTCACTTAAAACAATAAATGGAAATAATGGAGAAAAAGGAGTTGGGGGTTACCAAAGCCATTAGGATTCATTATGTGGAATGTTTTTTCTCACAATACATCTAATAGATGTCAAAACTTCCCCGCATAAGTAAAAATCATGACCCACACGGGTTTACCTAGAATGTTGAAACATTTCAGCCTGTACCAAAGCACTGGAGAGATCACCAGACCATCATCGCCATCCTGAGATCCGAGCTGATAGCGTGGGTATACATTTTAAAATTATAGTTCAACAAGAATAGCAACCCAAGACCTCACCACTAGCTTTTTCAGACTCCTTTGTGCTGATGAAGACTGAGATGCAGGTGAAAGCCCCAGAAACAAAATAGTAGGTTGATCTTAGAATATTTTAGTAAATTAAGGTTATTTGAAAATGATTATAGTGAAAAATTAGGAACAATTGGATAAGGGGACATGTCTATGGTTTATTTCACAAAATCAAACTGATCAGCATGGACCAAACCAGAAAAATAATCAGGTAAATGGTCTCTTCTTTGTTTCCGCTTCTCCCCTCACACTGGGAGACTAGTAAATCTTCAGGTTGTAAATATAAAAAAATAAAACCACTAGAAGCTGAGGACGTTTTCATGTTTATTTACTCATACAAACATGTATTATTATTGTGGTAATGATTAGTTAATGTAAAAAAAACAAAGCAACTTAAAAAAAGTCTTTGCTCTCTCTTCTCCGTTTCATTGGCATCTCCCTTCTCATCCCCAAATGGCTTTAAACTGCCATCTTCTCTTAATTGGCACAGTCACAATAAAAGCACACTTTGATCATCGGTTTGATGGAAACAGCATATTACGTTTCACTGCCATATTACTGTTTTACTGGATGCGCACCCATCTCATTAAATGTTTGCTTTCATAACCTTTTATTTTCTTCTTTGCAGGTCCTCATTGACACCCATGATGATAATTTAAATGCCTCTATGTAGTTCCTCCATGTCTACTACATACTGTCTAAGCATGTATTTATAGACTTTGTATTTTATTGTGTCGATCCATCATTTTCATAGTTTGCCTATTTTCACGGACTGGTCCATTCAGACTTGTTGAGGTTGTGTGTTTGTTTAGTGACTTGTTTGAATCCCATGTATTCATGTTTTGGCCTTTTGGTGGTCACAGTAGTGCTGTGTGGTGTATTGACATACACATACTTTATCCTCATCTGAATTAGCTTCAGTGTTTTCAGTCACAACAGGGGATGTCATCTTTTCTGATGCAACAACCTGACAGTCTTAGAACTGTGTGTGTGTGTGTGTGTGTGTGTGTGCGCGCGTGCGCGTGCGTGATGTCCCTCTTCGGTTTGTGTTTGTTTCATGCCAGTGTTTGTAAAAGTGTCTCACATGGTTCTGTCTTCATTTGTAACTCTTCTTTCATTGTGTTTGTGTTTGCACGCCCTTGACTCTCTCACACGCGCTCCTGGCTGCGTGCCTGGAATACAAGGCAGAGCATTATGGGACGAGAAGAAAAGAGGTCTTTGCTGTATCCAGGGGCAACACAGGTGACAGGAGGATAAGCGGCGATGTCTTGGAGGACACCTTTGTGCTGCGTTCCATGCGCCTCAGGCTCGCGTGAAGACTTTCACAGCCCTGACAGGTTTTTGAGAACACATTGCATCACACACATAATGAAGAGGTTTATCTGTCTGTCGGGTTTACACACAACCAGAAGGAAGCAGCAGCCAGTGCCTGCACCGAGTTTCTGCTGATTTCCATTCCAGCCACACACACAGCATCTGATTTCACTGATTACTTCGTCCTGTCTGGTTGATGGTGCATTAATCAGTGAAATCACCTGGAGTCCTGATTGGCTGGCATTTAAACCTGCAGATTTTTGGTGCTCCATGACACATGATTGCCCCCGTATGCAACCTGGTAATATTCTACCTAAAGTCTTCCTTCCTGTAAGATTGACAGGTATGCTGTAAGCAATCGTTTTGTAACTGGCAGGTCAAAAGATGTTCTTGAAACATGACTATGAAGTGAAATTTTCACTGTTACTGTGTAAACAGATACCAAGGGTCTTGACAAATATGTACGATTTGTTATATTGGGCTATATAAAATTTGACATGACCAAACTATACTAGAAAAACTTAGGGGAAACTCTTACTAGGCACGGTTGTCTCGTATCATGCATGAATATGATTCTCCCCACTCACATGCCGGCCTACGCTCACTCTGCATTTTAAACGATCTGTGCCATCACCGCTATCCAACTGAAGAGATGTGCTCTTTCACAGGACATAGCATTCGAATCCCATGCTCAGGTCTTTTTCTTTCCTCCTATCCTTGATCTGAAGTATCCATCACCAGCTGATTTCTCATAAAGGGAGAAGTTCATACAAACTGTGATGGTCTCATGTCTCCTAATTCATGGCTCCTCCAGCAGCTCCTTGCTCCCCAGAGACGATATGAGACTTTATGTGAATCCCAGTTCCCTTATTTTATGGTTCCTCTGTCCTGGCTTGACCTGAAAGTTGTTCCAGTGTGCCATGATGAAGGACATCCTGGGGCTCTTATTTCTGCTCTGAGGAGCGAGGAGGTTGCCTGCAGGAGCTATAACTGAGGATTCATGAGTGCATCCTTCATGGAAGTCTCTTACGGATTGACACGCCCCTTTATTGGAAATCAGTTGGTGATTGGAGGCTTCACATGAAGGATCAGAGAAAAGCTTGTCTCAGGTAACAGTTTCCTCACTTCCTCTCTCCTCGCAGTTTGTCCTTGCATCTTTTCCTTGCAAATTATGTAGGTGGGACTAAGACACAAAGAAAAGACATGAGTGAGGGAAACACGAATACAATTAGAAGAACTGTGACTCACCTTTGGAATGTTCTTAATCCTTGGTCGGCCAGAACGACTTCTGGGTGAAGTGAGGCTCATATAAGAGTTGAGAAACACCCCCTGTCTGAGGCTTCTTTGGGTTTATGGGTTGCATAGTGGCAGTGTTTATGAGGGGTGTCTATCTTTGTAGGTTTCAGTAACAACTTTAGCAATGTAACTTTGAAGATCTTCTCTAACAAATATACAGTATATCTGTTTTAATAACACTTCATTCTGCCTAAATATTTCTCCACACATACTATATATTTGATGTAACAACATTTATCTCAGTAAACCCCTGAAAAATCGGACAGTTTTGACACGTACACTGAGAAAACAGACTCCGGCTGCTGTGACTCTGCCGACCACTAAAAACAGCCGACAGGTGCTGTGCTGCTCTTTTTTCTCTGACTGTATGAAGGTTTTTTTGAGATTGTATTCCTAGTGAAAATATATTTATGTGTTCTTTGGATATGGTTTGGTGGAACAGTGAAGAATCAAACACAAAGAAAACATGCTGCACTTTGATGCTATCGCTGGCAGACAAAGTGGAGGGGAAATCAGGCCAGAGAGGAGACGGAGACGGTGAGATCGGCAGAGAGTGAAGAGAGAAAAGTAAAAAAAAAAACAGCAGAGGCTGAGATAAACCCAGAGAGTGAGGGGAATGAGACAAGAGAGTTTTGATTGTGAAGAATGGCTGATAGATAGGCTGACAGACAAGTAGAGGATAAGAGAACAAACACAAAAAGGAAGAGGACTGAAGATTAAAACCTATGTTCTCTCATTGCCTGTTACAGCTCTTTCCCACTGTTGATGTTATTTGTTTATATTCTTGCCCTTCTTCACCTTGTGTACTACCTGCATTACTGTGTTCATCGTTGTTTTATCCCTTAGATGGCTGTTTATAATTTTTTTATGTGTGTGACCCAAACCAAATGGCTGACCTCTCCTGATAATGTTATTGATGCCTGGAGAGCACTTTAGTCTGTGCAGCCTCTACCCGAGGTTATTAGTACTGGAAAATTATGTAGGGAGGCGTTCACTTTATGTATGTCCAACAGACGGTGATTTGTACTGATGCACAGAGAATCATCAGGGCAATAAGCTGCAGTGATGTGTGGTACAAATCTACAAACTCCAGAGACAGCGGCAAACAGAACAACCACAACAGGAGGTCTTTCACCCGCTGTTGGCTGTTTAATCAGCTTTCAGTCAAATCTCAACATGGAGTGCTGAAGAATTAGCACAAAGGAAACACCAGTGACTCTGGAGGTGGTTTTAAATTGTGAAAAAACAGAAAATGATGAATATGAAAGATCTGGCAACCAGAAATGTGTTTTAACTCTGTTTAGGGTTTGCAAAAGTGCCTTTACTGAAATGTTAAGTGATTTATTGTGACCTGTTTCAGTTATGCACCACTTTTTCACTTCACTAACATCTCAGCCAGTTTCCAGCAACTCCTGTTCTTTTAGTCGGGTCCCAGCAGTCCCAGTCAGCAACACCCGATTCCACCCCACCTGGACACCTGCACCTTTTTCTCTCATTGGCCCTATAGTGAACTACCCGCCCTATTTTTCTAGGTCCTTAACCAATCAGTTATTTTGACTTTTGTTGTTCCAACCTCTCTCCTTGCCTGTTATTTTCTGCCTGTTTCCTCAATAGATTTGTTTTTCTCTGATTGCCTGTATGTTTGATGACCTCTGCCTTAAATCTACACCCCAAGTGTACACACACCCGTTTATGATCCAAACCCTCTCTGCCCCCAAGTCTCACTTTTGAGTCCAAACAAAATGTTATTTAAGGGGGCAGCAACTAAATTAAAAGGTATTACAGAAATGTGGGGCTCTCACAGCTTTGTTTGGAAAGTTTGAAAAGCACAACCTAGAGGTTGTATTTTCAAAACACATCTGGGATAAAAAAAAAATCAGAGCTGCTGTTGTTCAGATGTCCTTTATTATATATCAAGAAACAAATCCAACAGGTCCAGAGATCCAACAGGAACATATTCAGAAATTTCAAAACAGCAGTTTGGTTTTTGTTCTACTATACAAGGCAGTTTGAAAAACAGAACCTAGTGAATCATTTGTATGGATCAATAAACCAAGTTCTTGCAGATGTAGTGTGATGGTGGTTGTGAGCTGCAGTGCAATAAACACTTTATTTACTGCCCCATCAGCTGGGCAGTCTAGATGATAGTCCCCCCACTGACCAGCGGAGGGCAGCCTGGTAAGAGCTCACGCTCCCCATCACCTCGTGGCTGGACTCTGGGTGACCGCACACAGCTGCAGGCAGAGATGCAAAATGCCACACAGCATCTAGTGTCACACATCATTTAGCACATGCACACACCCGCACATCTATTGTTTATGATCCAAACCCTCACACTGTATGTGACATCTACCTACAAATACTGACACACCTGGAAGTGATCTCCTGTAATGATATACTTCCATACACTCATCTCGCACACACACACACACACACTTATCTCACATGACTGAAAATCTCATATTACGCTGAGCTCAGTTTGACTCTGGACCCCTCTCGCTCTTGTGAAAACTGGGAGCTCGTCTAATGTTGATTGAAGTATCATACAGCCGATGGAGTGCACTGGTCTGAGATGTACTGCAAATGTACCATGAATGATCCATCTCTAGTTACAGTGAGGCAAAGTAAAGGGAATGTGTGACGAGGGACAGGCAAAAAAAAACTGAAGGCAGAGGGTGTTGGCAAGTGCATGAAAGAGCTGCTGTAAGGGCCTTCACTCTTCTGCTTTCAGGCTTTCCACCAGATGCTGGAACCTGGCTGCAAGGATTTGCTCCAACAGTGATGCTGGATGATAAGATGCAGCTCACAGTCAGCATCCCAGTTCACCCCACAGGTGCTGAATGAGATCAGAGTTCTGTATCAGCGAGTCAAATCCTGAATTAAGTCCCCAAAATCACTGCTTTTAGAAGTGAACATAGAAACAACTGATAACTTAAAGGACACACCTGAATAAACGAGTGTTCTCTTCCAGGATGAGAGTGCCCCCTCCCATGGGGCATAAGGGGTCACTGAATGGTCCAAGTATGACAGCGCTGAAGACATGGAGAAGAGGATGCCAAATTACACTAGGACAAGTCATGCAAAGGTGAGATACCCCTGAATGGGAGATTTGTACAGATGTTTAGTTATTTTGTTCACTTTTATCATGACCACACGCTCTCTGTTAAAGCTACAGTATGTAACTTAAGGTAGCACCTGCATGAAACTCCACATCAACCCACCAGGTTCTGCCCAGCACTCCCTCTCCCTGCTCCACTCCGCTCCACCGCTCTCTGCTCAACTCTTCATATGTACGTGTTTAGGAAATTGTAAGAAATGAGAATGCAACAAAACTTAGTGATCAATCAGAAATAACTGATTGGTCAGAGAGGTCAGTCTGGCTCAAAGCCTGTAGAGGTTTCCAAAGATTTCTACAACAGTGTTTGAAAGAAATTACATACTGTAGCTTTAAGTAGTGTTTGGTGTAGAAGGAGTGATACATTTTAAATAAAGTAACACATACACTGAACAACAATAGTTTCCACTGACATCTGATTTACATCTGCCAACCTCTTCTCGTCTTGTCTATCAGACACTGACGTCCTAAAAAAAAATCGGAAGAGGCAGCAGAGGCTGTTGACTGCTCATGAAGCTTCACTTTTACTGCACACAGCCTGATTTCGCTTGTGCAGTTTACATTTTCTTTGTGGTGTATGTGTTTTTAAAACATGGCTTACAGACCAGGTATATTGTTTACTTCAGCATTACAGAAAGTCACTGCTAAGAATTCCTCATGTGCCTGCTTGGCAGCACTTGTTTCTGCAAATGTGTGTAGACAATTGTTTGTAGAAAACAAACTTCTGTAACTACACAAAGCCATGTAGAGATGGCTGTCTGCCTACGTATGGTGAATCCAGCTCGACTGGATGTGAGATGTCTCTCCTAAGAGAGGAGGAGCAAACGTACAACTGTTTGTTCTAGCAGTCTGTTTAGTCTTTGCCAGAACTGGCTGGTTGTGATGTGTTATTCCTGCACTGATTTTCATGGCTTCCTACTCATTCTCGCCATAGCAAATTGTGGAGAATAATCTTTGGAAGGTGTTTTCCACATTTGTATTTGTGATAGATTGCTTTCTCGACATCTAAAATTGTTACTGCTGTTAGAGTTTGTCTGTTATCTGAAAATCTCATGATTTGTTTTCATCAAATCATCGTCTCTTGCCTGGAAAGAATTTGTCATCATCATCTAAGAGTTGACAACACTTCATGTTTTGTCTTTCGATAACAATAGGGGGAAGTGACTAACATATTTTGGCAGGAGCAAATCTTGTCAGTTTTATTAGTTTAAGATGCAGTCTCTGAGAGCCGCAGAATAAAACATGCATCTGGTATCAAAGCCAGAACATGACTCGGGTCCTCATGGGGTGGTTGGTGACATCTGTAAGAAATTGTTGCATATACAAAACACTGTCGACCTGCTGCTCTGCAGTGGTTCATTTTCTTTAACCTCTGATGAGTTCTGTGGTGCTTACTGATGCAAGGACTCATCACATTCACTCAGATCAGTAATCAGAAAGCTCTATCATCAAAACTTAGAGTCTATATCTCAGCTGCCGCAGATGTATATGTTCTGCCTGCAACGTCCAGTACTGCAGCACAGCGTGCACTTCAGTGTTGTCCTCACTAGAGGGGGCCAGACGCAGCGACTTTCTCAGTCAGGGAAGGAGGGAGGGGACTCCATTCTGGCTACCTGCCTGAGTGATTTACTGCTTCAGCCTGACCTAATAAATCACATTACTGGGGCCACCAGTGAAATTACTGACCAGCTGTTGCACCTCTGTTTTAACTCTGGGCTGGACACTGTGGATTGGACTGGTCTGCCAGAGAGTCAGCAGAGTGGAATGGACAGAGTTCCAGTGGGGCGGACTGAACCAGACTCGGGTGACTTATCATGACGCGAGAACGAGATGGGAAGTGCCGCAGTCTCTACTGTGCTGTCACTTTCTGTTAGGTCTCATTTCTGTTCTGGTGTATCTGCAGCACCAAAGTTCACCTGTGGTAGAAAACATGCCTTTTATATTACACATAGATCTGTTGCTCACATTTAAGATTGAGAAAATGTGTTTAACACAGCAGATGTCAGCTTTAGCAAGTGTGATTAGCTTTAATTTTACTGTGATTTACTGCAGAGTCTGTGGAACTTAACAGCTTTTTTGACATTATTCTGAGATTCCAAAAGACAACTCACAAATGTGCAGTTAAGTAATTGTGTGTTTGCCAGATAATGAATCCACAGTTGGTGGATGACTCTAGTGAGTCATTTGTGCATCAGGACAGTGTACTTGAGTCAAAATAAACCACAGTGTGTAGTTTCACTGTCACCCAGTGCAGCAGTGTGGCTCACTGATTTGTTTTTAACAGTTTCTGTACGGAACCATTAGGTTCTAAATACAGATGCGATGCTCTGTCTGCAGTACCAAGAGAGGCGAGTGTTCTTGCTGCAGTACATTGACAGTGGTATTATTATAAAAAAATCCTTTGATGCTTATTTCCACTACAAAAATAAACATAGGTGGAACGGCAGCAGCTGAACCCAGAATCATGTGTAGTTCGAAAAACAAGCAGAGACGATGTTATGGAACCTGTGACTTGGCATTAAAATAAACCCAAACTCCCTGAGTGCCATGAGCTCTTTACACTAGATATAACATAAAGCACTATTCTCCTGCTGCATATTTTACTTCCAGTTTATTCAGTGACCTTTAAATATGAAGAAAGTCACCTAGAAGCAGAAAGTTCGGTTCCGCTGCTTCCTGTCGGACTTTTATTTTGACCTTACTTCCTATTTTTGTTTCACCTTAGTTTCGGTCTTTTTACGTTCTTCATCACTCACATTAGTTTCACCTGCTTCGTTATTGTTTGCACCTGACTTTCCAGCATTTTCTTCGGTTTTGGTATTTTGTGTTTCTGACCCGAACTGTTTCCTTGGATTAATCTGTTCTGCCTTGCCCTCTTATTTCGGACTGCTTCTGTGTATGAATTATCGGACTTTCCCTTTGGACAACGAACTTTGGATTCCCCTGGGTGTATGTGTTTGCTGGTTCTGATCTCAGACTGTTATACCGTGAGTTTTGTGTTACACTGTGTCTTGTATGGTTTTTGTTTAGCGTGAGTTCTTTTAGTAAAGAGACGGTTTTGTTTTCATTTCCTCGTCTGGCCATTTAATCGAGTTCACTAAACACTTTTCGGCAGCATCGCGCGCCGTTCATGACACAGATATCCCAAACTGAAGAGAACACTTTGAATGTGATGGCACAGACAAAACACCCTTCTTTTTACTGATTGGATAATTATCCAGAAACTGATGCTGGTACAACATCTATGTTCACTTTTCACTCTCTTGGTGTGTAAATGTAGAACGAAGACCAATGAGAGCCAAGTGAGTTCTGCATTCGTCCAGTCACATGGAGGGTTTTGCTGATGTCTCCCTGTTAGAACAGAGCTCTCTGTCAAGGTATCTGAAGTGACATCAGGAGGAAGCAGCTGCCCGCTGACCCTCGTCTTGTTGAGTGAAGTGTGTTTGCAGTTGCAGCGCCTGGAGCTACTGTCATTTTGGAATTCACTTTTATCCACAGCTGATGCTAAACTATGCAGACACTTCAGACTGAGATCAGGGCTGTAAAACCTTGAAGGACAATGAGCTTCCTTTTCTGGTGTAGTAGTAAGGTCTGAGCTGGCATCTGGGTGGATGGAGGGTGAGAGAAAGTGTGTGTGTGTGTGTGTGTGTGTGTAGGTGAAGCGTTGGCTGGTGATAGCCAACAGGAGACCTAGCACCCCCTCTGAGCTCGACTCCATCACACAGGAGATGAGGACAACACAGGGTGGTGAAAATGTGATGCTGTGATAGTCAGTGTGTCTGTGTGAGACTCAGAGCAGATGAAAAGAGATTAAATGGGTTTTGTCTGTGCATGTTTGACCAGACTGTCTCATAAGACAAGAACGAGTTGTCCAAATTCAGGCTTCATCCCAAATGTCTTATTAGTTCCAACATTTCACTCACTTGAATCTTTTCCTTGCATCCTAGTCCCGCCCTCGTAACATGTACTGACATGAGATGTCCTTGATTCTGATCCTTCATCTGAAGCATGCGGTCACCAAATAACTTCTGATAAAGCGGCCTGTTGACCCATAAAGCACTCCAGCAAACAATGCTTTCTATGTTTTCTGACCTGACCCTAAGGATAAGGTCTGGCTTAAGTATGAATATTATTTGGTTAATGATAGAAATGCTTTATTTTGGTTAAAATAAGTAATTGGTTAAGGTTGGAGAGCGATCATGTCATGATTAAGAGAAGCCAGTAACTTTCAGTAGGAGTAAGGAAGCAGAACTGTACCATCATGTGCAGGAAGAGGTCATGATTTTAAGCATAACTCCAGTTACTGAAGACTTGGTATTCTTGCTTTTGTAGTTTTGGCCCTCATCTCGATTGGTTTTGAGAACATTATACACACCAAGTTAATTGCTGAGATCTGGGAGGAGATTGTTGCAACAAAGTCCAGCACTTCATCCAGATAATCTAGTCAACTTCACATGATTAAATGAAACAGTGAGATGAAATGGAAAGTGAAAGGACTGGAGGTCCGAGTTTGACATGCAGAAGCAGATGACCAGCTTCTGTGTCCTGTTACCATGAGGGACAAAAATGAGAAAAACGGAGGTAAGTATGGGAAACAAACTTTAAGATCTGTTTGTCCTTGAAAATAAATGCAATCGAACTGAAGTGGGCAGGCACAGATAATACCACAGCAGGAGTAATAATCACAGGCATAGTCACGTAAGCTTTCTTCATGGCTATGGGTAAACAAATCTTTATAAACATGGACAGTTTCCTTAAAATTCTTAACACATTTTCCACATCCAAACATTTTATTGACAGATACAATTATAGCAGGATAAAGAATCATTTAATCAATAGCATTTTGAGTTTGCCCTAATGTTGTGTTGTACAAAGCTGCATAACAACATGTTGCCTCTCCTTAATCAGCCCAGTTTGTTTACTCTTCTGTGAACACAAAGACGCCAGATTTAAGCAACACAATAGCAGTG